TGCGCACTTGCTATGTTGTATTCTTTATTTTTACCTTTATTATGGACAAATGTACAAAATTTCCTCGTGGATATTTCATGTACAGAGCCTATGCAATTGTAAAGGCGTAATTAACTCCCAAAATAAGTAATACCTAAAAATATACATGATAACGAAAGCAAAACACCCAGAGAGTTCAGAAACCGGGCACACAAACAGAACAATCGCTTAATACAGCTAAGGCGATGTAACTGAACTGTAGATCTTAAAGATAACACTCGTAAAGAGCCTTTAGGACTAGAGGTCGTAACTCTAGACTCTAGGTCAACGGTCGAATGACCTATCCCATATTCCGTCAACTTTTTGTTCTCCTAAGATAACACCCCCCGACTAAGTTACCTAACTAATCCTTTTTAAAGCGCGGTGCTTTATTCCACTTTAGAATCGTTCAATTAGGTTTAAGATTTCAGCATAAATTTAAATAACGATGAACATTTAAAGCGAATATTAATTACGCAAAACAACTAACTGGGATGAAATTTTATAATGTTTTAAAATATTCGTATTTACAAAGCAGTTTTCACTTCTCGGTAAATTGCAGTGAAATTGTAGCCTTTTCCGCTCCACCGATTACAAAAAAGTCGTATTTGCGTGACAATCCTAACATTTAGAAAAACGCAATAACGTCTTCATTACCGATTGAGAGACCGTGACGATGTTTCCCATTTTTTAGCCGATTAACCATACGATGTTATAAAAAGCCCCCAACTAACGCCGCACTAAGTAATAATGAAGCAAGGAAAAACAATATGATTTATATACCGGGATGAACGTTTGTGGAACTCGTTTGTAAGTGTTGTTTAGTGACAACAAAATTAAGACATCTGTACTGTCTTTTGGCTGTCATTAATCACTGTCCCAAATGTGTGTCCGTCGTGTGGAACTAAACTAAGCTCGGGAAAACGTGAAGAGTATTCGTTAAACGGTAAGCAAGATCTTTTTCTTCAACTGTCACTGCTCCTAACGTCAGTATAAGAATGGATATGAAATGTTAATAAAGCAAATTGTACCACAGATACTTACAAAAGAATTCTCCTCCCAAGGATGATTTAGGAAGCTATTGAAATTAAAAAAAACACCCTAATATCAATAGAAAAGAGGGTTGGGTGCTTCCATCGACTTGGGATCCTATTATCAATAAAAATTAAATCTAGGCCCAAACGAACCACTACTGCGAGACAAGATAAAGTTAGCATGTTGTGCATAGATCGATACAAAAATTAATAATTTTAAAAATAGTCGTCGTACATGAACGCTTTCGGGGGTTGGAAACGTCGGGAAATAAAACTATAAATACACAACGCGATAAATCCGCAAAGATTGTTTCATATTTTTAACCGACTTCAAAAAAATTCTTCTCGGTTCTCAATTCGACTGTATTATTTTTCTATGTTTGTCACCTCAGAACTTTTGACAGAGTGAACCGATTTTGATGATTCTTTTTTTATTTGAAAGCTGGTGCTTCCCATGTGGTCCCATATTAATTTCATCGGTATTGGATCTGGGCTCCGGAGATACTTGGGGTACTCCTGAAAATCAATTACAAAATGAATACATAACGAGATATCTGAAGTCGGTTTTGTTTTTAGTTAATAAAAAATGGACTTGTTCAAATCGAAATTTCGTTTCAAATCAAATATATCGAGAACAAACGGGATGTCGCGAAAGCGTCGATCGCGATAGAGTCGTGACTGCACACAGTAAAGGGGCCCATGTTTAATCAGCGAAAGCCTTAAACGGGACATTTGTTGCGATCCGAACAATACGCCAAGAGATTTATCTGCCGCCAGCGCTCGGAAACTGCTTGTAAGGTGCGATAGCGCGGCAGCAAACATAATTATGGATCGTTTGAATGTGCCAATTACGCGCGCCGTTGTACCTGAAATAGGGGTAATTATATAGCGCACAATGTGAAAGCTTCTCATTGCAAATACCTTATGTTTTCAGCATCCCGTCCATTCGCATTCAAGTCTTTATGGAGTAATGAATAGGATAATGTTAAAATTGTTACCAAATTCGTTGGCGCCGGTTGGGTGTTTTTAATTGAACGGTGAATTAAGAACTGTGAGTAGGAGATTCCAGGGGAGGATGTAATATACGAGGTAAAAGATGAGAGCACGGACGCTGATTTATCACTAATCAAATAATGCATCATATATTGTAATAATAATGCGTCTCTAATGCAAATACCTGAATAAGATTAAAAAGGGCCATGTATTTTTCTTGTTTTTATTTAAGAGGAATCGAACGGAGGACAACCGACACCCATTATAAATCTGTTCCTCTCAGTATAACACTCACCAGTCGAAACGCAGAACTCTAACTCGCCCACTTTACGCCGATCTTCTCTCAGGCCGTATTTCCCCGGACGGGACTGCCCATCCGTGCAACGGCGAAGACTGTTTCGTGACCCTACCCGCCGGATAACACATCACCCACAGTTAGTGTAACAACAAAAACATCAGTTCGCCTTCGCCTGCGAGTACGGCGAGACCAACACAACGCGTTCACAAGGTACACCCGCGTTCCAGGGCGGTTCTCACCGCCTCCAGCCACCGATTAGCTAAAAAGACAGTCGACGGCCCTCGGGCTTTCGGTCCGAACCGCGATCTCGATGGCCCTAAGATGACACACTATAGTTAAACGCACGCATGAGCACATGCGCGGAGGGCCCTAACCCGTGGGTTCTGGCTAGCCCACCGGTTCTGCGTTATATGAAGCTTTAATAGTCTCGGGACGAAAGCAAAGACATCATTATCTTATTATTATTATAGTTAATACAAGATACAAGACAAGTGGCCCTACCACAGTTGAATTGATATGCACCACAGGTAAATGTCCTATAATGGAAACATCTGAATAAATCGTTCGTTTCATCGGCTGATGCGTTCTGAGGATACGGAGTAGGGAGCGTGCTGCAACGCGGATGTATTCGGCGACCGTTAGCCGATCGCGGATCTGGCGATAAATCCGCGCCTCGTGACTGCTACAGACAGCCTAGCGATAGAGCGGCCGCTCTCCCGTTCCTCAGGATATTTATTTATCCTCTCCCGTTAATGGTGAACAATTATTTAGGACTGTGCGACAGTGTTGCACGAAAACGTTTGCTCCGGAAGCCAAAAAGCGGCTAAGTTCACTTGAGATTAGTTGCATTTGGATAGGTTGATGATGCTATTATTGCGGTTTTCAGTGATATAACTTTGATAGATATTTAAATTTGATTAGGTAGGATAGCTGTATATTTGTGTTATAACTTTATCGATACAATTTAAGAGGACTGCTTTTTCTTTTTACACATTACATAAGAACGCTAATAAATTTTAATTTTCAGTTCCCCGCCTTTCAATATTTTCGTTTTTTTTTTCACAGTTCTTTCACGTGATGCTATTCAATTAAGTATTGAAGTAATTTCATGGACATGAATTTAAAAAAAATGTTTGTATTTGTATGCTATTCTTTTATGATGGATTATGTTTTATTTTTACTATTAATACGACAAGGATAGGTACTAATGTCTGAATATGATTATGGAATGAAGTTAAGTAGAAAAAACTAACAACAACAATCAGTGCACCAACAAAAATGACATAAATAACATCAAATAATCCATTATATTAACCTATTATGGGTACAAAATAGTATTATTCTGTGGAGTTTTAAACACGATTCGAAAACAGACAAGTTACCCACATACGAAATTTATTAGTAGGTCAAGCTATAGTTGTCCCATATGGGAATGGATGGAACGATCTATTGTAATGGAGCCTGTAACTTAGCAACTTTACAACTGAGTATATGAATTAAGTGAAGTAAAATTCGCACTTAACGCCGGCACGCGGGGCGAGGGGAAAGGGGTCGAGCTCACTTAGGCGCTAAGTTTTTGCCGCTAGCTTAATGGCTTCGACAGTGGCTCTGGCCAGTCGGATTGGCATTCGGAACTGCCGGAATGCAGGCAACGATGCCCCGATAGATACGCGGGTATACGAGAAATGGCCTTCGAGCGATAGTTTATTTTGAGGCCGTGAATGATATTGTAAAGTGACTTTGGCTTAAGCGCTAATAATTATTTCAACGGATCTTGTACTAATGGTTTTATGTACGTATGTACATCGGAATTCACTAAAGTGGAGGTCATGGCTTATAAACACTGGTCGAACAAAACGTTTTGTTTTATGGTCAGGTAATCGTGTTTTTTCTGATTTTATAAGTTCTAGAATTCGTTTTAATATAACAATCAGCAATTAGTAAACTTCATATTAAAATACAGTACCCGGAGGACCGAGCTTTGCTCGGTTTGTTTTTTTTTTGGTAAATCGTGTGTTTTGGAAATTACATTTAGATACAAATTACTGAGTAATGAAATATGCGTAATATTATTCGATCTTACCGACGTAACAATAAGAAAATATGAAGTGGTGTTTTTCACAAAAGAAACAACTTAAAAAAAAAAAGGGAAAAAATAACAAAATAACAAATCGACAAAAAAATTAAAAATAAAGAAAGCAATGATCTGGAATCGAAAAAAAAGTAAAAAAAAAAGAGATCTTGACACGAACCACGGCCGTCTGTTTTGGAGCCGCCCGATTACCGACCGAGCTATTATGACATTTTCTCTTGCGGCGAAATTTACCGTCATATTCGAATGATATTTTTCATTCCCTGAAAACAGGGATAAAAGGACATTTTCTAAAAATGAAACCTAGCTAGATCGATTTTTCGCCCCCGAATCTACGCACATACTAAATTTCATGAAAATCGCTGGAGCCGTTTCCGAGATTCCGATTATATATATATATATATATATATATATATATATATACAAGAATTGCTCGTTTAAAGGATAAGATATTAGCTGATATAGATGACATTTGCCAAGCGGAGCCTCGTCAATCCGGTTCCTGACCTATCAAATTAGAAATTATGTTTGAATAATTGGTGAAGGATCTATATTAGATATATTAGAGCATGTTTTTAAACACTATTGTTGCTCGCTCGATTACGATTATGATAAATTCTTTCGAACATGCATTAAAAATTTCTAACGTCTGCTCGAAATGCGACATTCCAATACCCCATATGCCGGCAGCCTTCGTTTTACCTTCCAAGTAACCATCGCTGCTAATCGCGAATTCGACACTCGCAATTACGTATAGGAGTCTCGCGACAGCTATGCATATGACGGTCGCATGCCATGCATGCGGACAGTTGCCCATAGCATGCACCGCCGTGCGTTCACCCCGCACCTTTGCATGCATGCGCCCGCGCACAATTCCGCGGCTTTCCGCTGGGGGGGGGGGGGGAGGGGGTATGCCGTGGGTCGTGGGAGCGCTCGGCTTAGGAATGTGGCTCGAATCGGCAACGGACCCGTTAGCCGGCCGCTCGTGTCTTCGCATTCCGCGCCCGAAGCGCAATGGGCCGGCGGTACGCGGGTTCCTATCCGACATTGGTTATACAGCACCGTATAGTCTATGTCGTTGGTCAATAATGCCCGGTGGTAATGCAGTATCTACAGCATTTAGATCCAGCTTTCGTCCTCGATTTCGTTTAACGTTCGTACCTGATAGGCAGTACCGCCTTTACCTTAAGGGCACAGGGTCCCGTGCCCAGGGGATATCGTCACGGGGGTCCCGCATGGCCTATCTATTCGCTTAAACTATAGAAATTTTTCTCTATTTTTCGTAGATATATTACGGCAGAAGTTTATAGAATAAATTAAAAAAACATAAGATAACAGCAGAAAAAAGTTTTTGTAATTCACTTTCTTTTCCTTTCCATCAGGGCCCCAAAGTGTGCCCTAGGGCCCCGATGGCCTAAGACGGCATTGCGGATAGGTATCCTTTTTGTTGTTACAGCAAATTTATTTGGATCCCCTTTTGGCACGGAGCTTAGCGTTGATGATATTAACACGTGGTCCGTCGTGGAAACATCGGGATTTTAAAATCAAAATAAAACGTGTATAGTGTGGTTATTGTGATTGTTTCACAATTACACCTGTTCGGCAAAGTGATCTTATATTTGGTTTTTTTAGTATTATTAAGTTGAGGAGAATTTTAAAAAGCTTTTCACTATATGTATATACTGTAACATGTTCACCCTTACTGGCAACTTAAATTGTATCATAACATATTCGATTACATATTATTGAATCATCCAGTCATTTGGCCATGTTGGATGCTCCACCATCGTAAGTCGACGTCGAAATCCGTTTTAGTTATTTATCGAGATAAAAATTTTGCCTCAACTTAACTGGATTCCGCCTTAAAGCACGCGTCCGACGCATGGGCTCTCGCTTTCGTTGTTTACCGAGTGTTGGGTAACCTCGGTGTCGCTGGTAACAGTAGACGCTTGCCGCGGCGGCTCGTTTGTACCGATACTCGACGCCATTTCCGACACCGGAGAGCGTCAGCGCCTGCACCAGGGCTGCCTAATATTATTAATGCATATTATTAATTTTATTATTAATATTAATGACTTAAAATGATGTTCATTCAGTTCATGAATCATGAATGCTCCGTATCTAAGTCACAGTCTACAAGGTGGTATCTCGTAAGTTGGGACTTATAGTAACAATAAAACTGGGCAAGTGCGAGTCGGACTCGCCCATGAAGTGTTCCATACTATTATCTATAAAAAACGGCAAAAAGCCTGGCGACATACAGACAGACAGACAGCGAGATCGAAGTAATAGGGTCCCGTTTCACCCTTTGAGTACGGAACCCCAAAAATACTGCGTTCTTATTTTAACGCTCTTAACTAAACTTATAGTTAAAGTATACCAATACGGAATATCTCGACAACGATGTGTGCAATTAATACTGTTGATACTCACGTTTGCTAAAATTAGACTATCATACTTGTAACATGTTATATTGTAAACTGCAGATGTTTCTTGCCGGTCTCCACAACAGAAATTGCTTTCCGGTCCGGTAGTAACTTACAAACTTATGTATCAATTTTTATATAAATCCCTTGCACTTTTCTTATTTCAATTTTCTAGACCTCTTCCCGCTTTATCCTATATATTGTAAAACAATTTAACACACAATAAATATATTAGGATAATAATCCTAAACACTTTTTGCATAGCTTTACCCATTAAGATGTCTTCATTAAACTTGTACTTCATAAATGGGGTTCTACCGAGTTGAAAAGTCAGCGTCGACAACCATTTTTTTAAACACTAGAAATTTAGAATGACTCAGTTTTATTTGTCCCCTCACAAAAGGTGGCAGCACTTAAAAAACGCTTTTGTCTGCGCGTTTGACGCTAAATATGTTTTATAAAATAACTTTCCCGCTGGTGGCAGCCCTGGCTAATTGGGAAGGACGTAAGCGCCAATAGACGAATCAATCAAACGCCATTTTAAATGCTGCATCGACGAAACCGCCTACCACCGGCTGTTGCTGGTTTTATCCCTCGTAACGAGTCTCTCATTCAACTCTGCTGTTAAACGAACTTCAACTGTCAAAGGAATTTTGAAATGAAACTTCTTACGCCGCGATTCGATAATTGGACGTGAATCGAGAGATGATTTTTTAAAGGTGCCTCGCGTTTGGGCAGAAGAAAGATGAGATAACGCAAATGAAAGGAGAAAAGAACTATACGTTGAATGTCTTATTTGAGTGAAACGTATTTTTTGTGATGATTGAGTGTTTTTAATATTCAGTTTGTTATGAAGTTTCAATTCTTTAATCTGAGTTTAAAAAGTAATTAGCCGAAGTTTAGTAGTAAGCTGTGCCAGGATTTTAACCAGTGTCTTCTGGGTAACATCGAGTGTGAGTTCCAATCATTGAGGCGTCGAAAATTTACTTTTTAAAAACGTATTTTAGTTTCAACTTAAATGCAGCTTAGCACTAAAAATAAAATGCATTATGAGCAAATAAAGATTGATAATTACATATGCCGTAATTAATTAGAAAAAATTTTAGCCAATATTTTTTTTTTACAAAAGTCACGCGTACTTTTGCCCGTATTATGGCAGCGATATTCTAAAAAAGTGTAGTTCTACTTGTAGTAATTGTGTTCGTAGTGACAGGGATATCCGTAAAACGTTTAGTTCCAAATATAGGATACGACGTATTGAACTTTAGATCGGCTAGCCTATCCTGAGAGATCGAAAAAAGGGTACGAGTGACGTTTAAGTTGAAATTTCATTGTGTAATTGTCTCAACAAAGTGGGAGCAATCAAATGGAAAGTTTAACTGGGGCCAACTTCTTTTAGACGCCTATGATAAGTTATCTTTAACCGGCCAATTATTGGATTACGGGCAGCTGGTGTACACCTGCCCGATGATTTATTTGCGGCATTAAGAATAGCTCGAGCTTGGGTCCGTGGCCACTGCGCGCCGGTGCGGAACGCTTTGAGGTAAACACCGGAGCAGCCTTAGTTAGTCTGCTGAATTAATTAGCCAGGGGGAGATAGCAGGCCGCGAATGCTTGCTTTTTCGGTCATGCTCACGTACTTGGCTTGGTGTCAGCTCTAGAGTGGTTTGTGTTGCAATGGATGTAATTGTCCCGACAGTGCTGCCATTTTAATTGATTGTAAAACAGTAATGTCGACAGGATAATGGTTCGTTTATGCGGCAGATGGCAAGAGCTGGCGGTTCAGCCGATGTTAAATGATTATATTGTACCCCTTTTTACGAAAATTGCGTGGACTTAGGTGTATGCAATTTTCCACACTTACTAGTTTAAAAAGAGGAAAAGTGCATATACTTCATATATGTGTCAAATACATACTCTTTCGTTTATTGTGTATTGGTCGAATTTCGACCACTCGGCGTCTAATAGTAACAATAGATGCGGCAAGCTTTTGTACATAGTTGCTTGCTACATAGTTTTAAGTATATATGTAGATAAAAGATGTTGAGATTTTTGTCGGTGTGGCAATTAACCGTTTAGCTTAGTGGTTATAGCGACTAGGCGTGATTCCGGATGACGTGGGTTCGATTCCCGCAGTGGCGAAAAACTTTTCGACCTTTCTTCTACAATTTTTAAAGCACTATATTCGTATGGTCATTTACAATCGTAGACATAGCCTTCTTCGACGAAGTACCGGCGGTTGAGAAAATACCGCGCAGGCATTCAACCGTGAAGTTGTAACGATTTTGTTCCGCGGCAAAAAATCTCGCTAGGGTTGGTGACTTGTTTATTGGGATTTTCCCATTAGCTCGGCCACTCGGTCCCGCCATATTGTTTCTTCACGCTTAACGCGGTGTTGCCACAAGTTTTGTATACGCCGTCAGCCTCGAAATTACTGTCAGTAAAACCATTAAAATACCTCTAAGCTACTTGATAGGCGAATGTTTGTATGGAAAAAACAATAAAGGTCAGAGGGAACGGGCAATTTTGAACAAATCCAAACCAGGATCAGGCCGAGGTTATTACATACTTTAACTTTATTACAACTTCAACATCATGCGGCCTCACTCATTTTTTGCTATTATTTTGAAAATATAGGTTCCTCATGATGTTTTCTTTCACCACTGAAACGTGATAAGTCAGCACTTAAAATTAACAATTTCATCGATGCCGGCACCGGGGATCGAACTCGGGTTGCTAGATTATTTTGAATAAAAACGAGCGCCCGGACAGTGAGCTATAACGGCAGCGGGCTGAGGGGGGGTCCATCAAAAACCAGTAATTAAGCCGTGAAGCCACTGCGACGGAAATACTATCTAAAGTCCGTTTCACGCTTTAGAGCAGCGTGACTCTCGAATCAATAACTTGTGCCCCGGAATTAATCAATTTGCCGATGCGAGAGAATCCTTGACTGACAAACCTTCACCATAATCTCCCCTGAATTCGTCGCAGAGGAAGAATGTGATCTGAACACTCGGCGTGTTGTGGAGACGTTTCCTTAGTTGTACGTTTTATTAAGACCAAGAATTATGGTTTCTTCATATTAACTGTAGAAAAAGTTAGATACGCTAGGCCGGAAGTTGTAAATGTCCTACGTGTCAGTTTGAACCGCGGTCACTGGTCTTTTCCCACAACACTTGCTATTAATTCTCGAGTGTTACAAACTAGAGTATCCACCACAGCGATTGTGATGATTGAAGTTTTATGCGTGCCGTGCGAGCTTTGAGAAAGAGGTCAATCTTCGTTTCTTTTTGCTTTTATAAGGAAGCGGGATGGGAGGGATGTGGACGGATATGAATAGTATTGCCAGTATTAAGTCGTATGTGCGTTATAATTTAATTAAATTGTGAAACTTACTTATACCTTTTATATTATTTATTTTATAAAAAATATAAATACAACTGCTTTACAGATTGCAACGGGTTTTCAAATCCCTGAAGTTCGAACAGTTTACAAAAGATTCAAGCTCTAGTCTAAAATGTTCAAACAAGATTTATTTGGAAGTCATGAACGGAATTTACATTAAATACACAAAAATTAAATATTTTTAATTTTTGTTCATTTAATATTTAAATAATTTTAA